TAAATGTAATATGGAAAAGTCCGCAAAGTTATGATTTAATATTTCTAAAGTGGGGTTGACCATCCCTGTGCTAAACTAGCCGAATATTTCTGAAGGTCTAAACATTTGCAATGCCTTAAGTTGCATTTACTTATTATTTTTAGTGATTTACCTAATAATTCATAAATACCAGTATATTAGGGAAAAAGAAGTAGGGAAAGAGCGAATATAAAGATATGAGACGAGAAATTAGAAGAAGTGGCCGATTTTAGATATCTAGAAAGTCAGGTAAGTCAGGACGGAAGGAGTAGTAGGGATATAAAACAGAGGATAGCGCAGGGTCGAGTCGCCTTCAATAAAAAGAAGTCACTTCCATGTTCGCGAACGGTTAATTTAGAAATTCAAAAAAGATTGTTAAAGGTGTATGTTTGGAGCGCAGCGCTGTAGAAGAGGTTAGAAGCGTTCGAAATGTTGTGTTACAGGCGAATGATAAGGATACCGTGGATAGAGAAGGTTGAAAATGAAGAGATATTAGAAAGAATAGGAGAATAGAGGTCTCTATGGAAGTCAGTAAGAAATAGGCGAGATAGGTTAGTAGGATATCTTCTCAGACATGAAGGTATAGTCAGAGACATATTAAAGGCAGAAGTGGGAGTTAGGAGGGGTAGAGGTAGACCTAAATTAGATTAGTGTTCGCAAATAGTTAAGGATGTGGGTTGTTCTAGTTTTAGGGGAATGCGAAGATTAGCTGAGGATAGGAAAGAGTGGAGGTGCGTGTCCAAGCAGTCTTAGGACTAATGATGAATACATGAAAAGACGGTTGAAGGTATTTGTACGAATTTTCCTAGACCATGTACTTTTCTTCTTGCTTCACCCTTTGATGATTGCATATAATAGAATATCCCTATATATTTGGTTCTCAATTCGCCATTAGTGTATTTTTTCAACCATGGCCTTTTGAAAACATCCACTTCTCTATAAACTCCTAAACCAACCGATCTATCAAAATCTTGTGAAGAAAGCGTTGCACCCCTGATAAGCTGTAAACTAGCGTTAATCACACTTGTGTTACTTTATTAATTTCATAAAAGATGCTGATGAAGGTATTTATACTAATTTCCTTACAGCATGTCGTATTTTTCAGCAGATGATGCCGCCCTTTGATAATTGCATGTAATAGAATGTCCCTGTAAGGCTCTGTTCTCAACTCGCCACTAGTGTATGCGGTCTTACGAGTATAGCTAGTATATAATAAATCCATTTATTGGGTATTGTGTACATACAAAGGTGAATTTAATCATTCGTGCTCGCGTCCAGTGTAACGAGCACATGCTCGTTAATTCCGGCAAACGAAAATAAGGTACAGCAACGTTTTAATTCAAATGAATGCCGCATTTATGGCGTTTTTTTACAACGTGTAATGGAGTAAAGTTTACAGCTTTTTCATAGACCGTCGTAATTAATAAGTTTTCGGTATATGATGGTATCCAATTAGTGTGCGTTTCACTCTTGTTTCAAAGGAAGCGGATAATTAGAGGTATCCAGGTGTACAGAGCGGTGTTTATGCGGGTTTGCTAACCTATTATTTATTATTAAATTACATAGCGACGTAAATCGTTCATTCATGAATGTACACGGCAGCTATTAGCGTTATTACACAACACTTTTAAAAAATTGGCTCGCAAACCCTCTTACGTAGGTATATATGTGTGTGTAGGTACCCACTTATATGTGCGGAAAAGGCGCAAGTTCCAAGTTGTAACTGCACAATACACAACATACGACACAGTAGCGGGTTCCTGTCGGCTCGCCTAATAAACGCAAGACGTAAACAATTTTTGTAATTTATTATATCTACCTACACAGTGTCAGTTATAATTAGTACGAATTAGTGCGAATTCCATGAATTATAGATAAATGGGATAACAACTAATCAACTTGTTTGATTCTGTAATAAAAGTTATTTTATATGAGGGAGCGGGCGTCATTCGAACATAAAATAATCGGTATCTAACGGTAATAATGTAATACAAAATAGTTCTTCTTTTTTAGAAAATAAAATTATATTATTTACTCTTAGTTTTAGATGGCGATATGTCTGTTGCCTGTTATAGAAAAAAAAAAGTTTTTCATGGTATATATGTTAGGCCAGAAGACCGAAAACGCTCAGTGACCGGAAAAAACGGCCACATCGCGTTCTGGCTGCCTTCGAACGCACAGAACGCGTTTTGGCTGTTTTTAAACGCTCGCAACACGTTCTGGTAACTGTTAAACAGCCGGGACGCGTTTTGTCAATTGTTGAACGCTCACAAAAATGCAAGTGTCGCAATTTAAATGTACTATGTAATTCGAAATGCCATTCAAACAGTTCTTGTAAAAATAAGTAATGTACCTATGTAAAGTGCTTGAAAGTTCGAAAAAACCCCTCGTTTGTATTTAGTTGTGGTTGTCAAAAAATTAAATCGTTTCTAATAAAGTAAAAAAGGTATGAATTTAAGTTTGCGTTGTACTCCACAATAAGTTAAATGTGTAGAAAATAAATCGAAATTCATTTATTTAATGAATAACTTTTCGCTTTTTGATTCATTCATTCATTCATTCATATATCATATGCTCGACAATGTAAGTGTTCAGTGTAACTTTCTTCCTAGAACTGAATAACAATTATAAGAAATTTAATATTGTTGAAATGATTCGGCGAGAAAAACCGAACCCACCTTTGGTATATAATTATAGTTAATTAATATAATAATACAAGTCGAACATTAAGAACGCGTTGCGAGCGTTTAAAAACAGCCAAAACGCGTTCTGTGCGTTCGAAGGCAGCTAGAACGCGATGTGGCCGTTTTTTCCGGCCACTGAGCGTTTTCGGTCTTCGGGCCTAACATATATATGTTTGACAAACAATATGTACCACTGCAATTACTTCCGCTCCTTCTTAAAAGTGAAAATAATTTTACACTGAACTTATTATTTCAAACGCTAATTGGCGTAATTGCTATCCAATATTAATACATTCAAAACTGGGTTTGGGGCAGTTCCCAATATGACATACAAATTTCAAAAAATAATTAATTTCTTAAACAACAATAAATATTTATTTTTCTTATTAGGTAACGAAAATATTTTATTTGGTCTGTAAGTATTTAGTAAAAGATGATTTTGAATACCTTGAAAAACTGTTAACTGTAAAGCTGAATTCATTATTTCAATATTTATCCACTTTTCTTATCTAATTTGTTAAAATTTTAATTTCAATAGCTGTCGGAAATACATAGTTTCATTTATACTTTAATCCGGCCCTGACGGCCTTCAGCCTCTTATGTAATGTTCAATAGTTCTCCTGTTGTGCGGTTGTTATAAAAGGCTCTAAAGATTTCAACGGACTTTAAAAGTCATTCTAATATCTCGTACCTTTGAGGTTTCTATACTTGAAATTTCGTAATTCCTCAAAGAACCGTTCAGCACCTCTACACTCAAAATGAAATAAACCAGGTCAAATTGTGAATCATTCTAACCTTGTTGGGGTTCTTTCGCATCACCTTATTATTTGTCTTTGTTCGATGTTTGTTATTCAATTGCAGAGTTGTAAACTATAAGGTAGAGAAGACTAGTCCGGTCCGGCAGTTCGGTATTTTTTAGTATTCAGTACCTTGAAGTAACAAAACTAAAAAAAGAAGCAATAATAATAATTATTTACAGGGAAACTTTATATTTTTCTATTAACCGACACAATGTTTGTCTTAAATGCTGAAATTTTCCGTCATACATGCGAGCTTATCAAGACTTAAACAAAGTAATGACGATAGTTGCGAAAGTTATGAAAACTCGAAAAGTTATCCCTCCTTCAATGCATAAATTGTCCCTTTTTCCAACCCACAAATTGACCTTTTACCGAACGAAATAGTACAAGGCACTTGAAAAAAGTATAAGGTATCGAAAAAAAATTAGTTTGTATTTCAACCATTTGTTATCTGTGGAATGAGAGACTCGAATCTGAACGAGATACTCAAATCTCTCAGTAAGTAGTGTCTCGATAGACATGGTTAAAATTTTCAAATAAAAGTTCAACATATTTCGCAGATCCCAGTCTTTCTACGAGAGACTCAAGTCTCTCAATTTTTCAGTTTTATCATTCAGTCTCTCTGTGAGAGACTCGAATCTCTGAATTAACAATTTCATCATTCGAGTCTTTCATACAAAGACTGTGAGAGATCCATAAAAACACCTACGCAATAACTGAGAGACTGTGAGAGACGCTCTCAGAGACGCTGAAAGACTCTGAAAGAGTGGACGGAGACTGAAAATTTTTGTCTAGGGTACACCTGTACATCCTCAGGATAGGTGGGCTGTTCTTCCCCACGTTAGATACCAAAATCTTGAACAATAACATTTCTGAACATTTTGTCTAGGGTAGATGTTATTCCCTAGTCGTAAATGCAAATTCTTACGACCAGCAAAATTAATTTTATTATCTGGTTTGCCCAGACATCAGATTTCTCGCAGGATTGGTACCTGAATTGGTAATTTCAGAACTAGATGTACTTTCAGGTATCAACCACTTCTACTTTTTCCATCATTATTGTGAGGGTGGAGTATATTATAAATGTGCGTACTATTAAGATTTTTAACAGAACCAATTCTCCTTCAGATCATTAAATTTAAAAACCAAAACATTTAACCGATTCATCCAAAGTTATTCCTTGTGATTGTTTATCAGATTCATTATCCGAGTTTGTATATATGCGTAAATAAAATTGTATATTAATAAAATCTACAGTCCATTAATTCTTCGAAGCGATTTCACCAAATTATCAACCAGCAGGATACAGCCAAACGTTTATAATTCACAAACCGCAACAATAACTGTCACATTATATCATCACATTTTTCCTATTTAATTAAATGATGGGTAGATAAAATTCCCTTTACACTACTATCATATGTGTAATAGTATTTTTGAATACCTACCAAGAATTTTTCTCCAAACAATTATTATAGATTGTTCTCTATTGTTACAGGTGTGGTTCCAAAACCGTCGAGCAAAGTGGCGAAAACAAGAGAAAGTCGGTCCGCAAGCGCACCCTTACAACCCTTATCTCACTTCGTCTACACCTGCTCCGCCCGTTATTCCGCCGACTCTTCCCAATCCATTTAATCTACCCTTCGGTTTGCGCAAACCGTTCGACTCGTTGGGTTTCCGTTATCCACCCCAAATGCTTCCGGGATATTTGACGCCTCCGTCCGCTTACCATCGGGGACCACCGTCGCTAATGTCGCTCTATCCCTCTACAAGTTCCTTTCAAACTCTCTTAGCCAATATATCTGCGGCACAACGGCCAAAACTGCCCACACAGGAATTCTCACCCTCTCCTCCCCTATCACCGGGTTCATCGACGGCGCCAGTGACGCCTCCTGAAGTCGACAGGAGGAGCTCGAGCATCGCGGCGCTCAGATTAAAAGCTAGGGAACATGAACTTCGACTAGAAATGCTCCGACAAAATGGTGATCTTATTAGCTGAATGTTTTAGAAACAACTTTTTTTGCAAAATTTTTTAGCTAAGAATCATGATGAGTTCGGTCAGTTAGCTCAGTTAGTCTCAAACCAATCCCGCATGGACATAAACTATAACACCAATGCGTTACGATTTCTTTTAAACGTTCCAATGCTTTAGGACTTCATTAAAAATGAGAATTAAATTTCTATCCCACTAATCGCAAAAGTATAAATTGAAATAATTATCCATTACAAGGATCTTTTACACACTCGCTACGTGCTTTTTTATTTATGGGGTGAAGCTTTTATAGTAAAGTTTTTAGTATGAAAGTTCTGTAACGGATGTCAAAAGGAAGCATTAAGGAAATTAATAGAAGCCATCTACTGTATTCTTCGGTCAACTTTATAATATGTCATCTCATTATGGTCAAAGCTCGTAATGTGACCTTTGTACATACTTTGAACGCGTATTTTTTGAAGGGTTGGAGGTAAAAAATAGAGCACTACAAAATAAATTAACGTAGCCTAACCTGGTCTAAAATACCTATCTATTTAAAATTTTTTCGGACTGATTTGTCTGGAGTCCAATCCTATAGTTTTACCAATATTTGGTTTTTCTCAAAAAAAAGGCAAAATTCACTCCGAAAACTGTTGGATTAATTTAGTTTAGGGGTGGGTTAGGTTCGTAGAGTCTCACTCGACCCTGTAAGTGGAGGTAAATTTTCAAGTGAAAAATGGTGAGTCCTTTCCAGCTTTCGATTGACCGACACAGCTGACTATATATGCTTAAAATAAAAAGAGATAGATACTTTCTATATGTTCTGTTTGATTCTATTAAGAAACACATTCAATAGTCAGTATATTATCGATATATCAATAGCTGTCAATCATTATCGATGTCAAATCGATATATCGATAATAATCAATATATCAATAGATATCGATACAATAATCAACTGATTAACTATCGATATACACATACATCATTTTTAATTTATAGTAGATAGATGGATAGAGTATCGATAGTTACCGATATATCGACAGTTATCGATGTCTCGATATTGATAAGTTGTGTCTACCTATGAATATCAATCAGCCCAATTAGTCGATACAACTCTTATTTTGTCAACGATAGCATCTTTTGCTTAAATAAAATATATATATATATAAAGAACTACATAGAGAAAATTAATTCTCATTTTTTTTATGTTGCAGTATTATTGATAACTTTATATCTAAATCTGTTATTTCGTAACACGTATGCTCAGATTAGTAAATATTGAGGCATTGTTCTTCAATTTTATACGCTTTATATTCAGTGAAGTTATCATGAAACAATTTAAATGAATCAGCAAAAACAGTACATTATTTTCAGTAAATACCCAAACACTGTACATGCCGGACTAGTAGGAATAAATTAAATTAATGTAATATTTTAGACAAAGCAGATGTTTTTGTAAAACAATTTAGAACAAGAAGTAGAGGTTTTTGAATAAATCATCGTTCTTTACAGTATGTTACTGATTAATATACAGGAAGAATTATGAAACCATTCGTCCTGTTTACGAAAATTTGTTTTGTTCTTTTTTTTACAGAAACAAGCGCTATCTCTGTTGGCTTTATTTGGCTTTTAAAAACCTTGTAAATATACATACGTACTTTTTTGAAAAACGAGTTGTATTGTGAACTACTATTTTCTTATAATTTTTATTAATAACTTATACTTGGTTAAAAGTGATTAGAAATGCATACAATTGTGTATGTTCAGTAAGTAATGACCTTTTGTTCTTAAGAATATAGATCCTAATTGTTATTATCCTATCCACATTTTTGTAAATTATTATGTAACTATTATGCAATAAATATTATTTTTTATTGAAGCACTTTTTTCTGTCTCTTTTCCTCTAACCATGTCTAATAGCTTACCTAGAACAACAGAACGCTAAAAAGTGGGAAATATTGTGTTAAGTTGTACAAACATAAAGCGTAATTAATGTATAACTGGTTAAAGCAGATTATGATATTTTTACCAGTTTTCGTGGATCGAATCAAAAAACAGTTCGTAAAACATGATAAATATTCATTTTAGGGGCAGATTATGATATTTATCAACGTGGCGTCACATATTAGAAGGTTGTTCTTTAATGTCGGAAAATGTATTGCAATTAAAGTACATATAATATGCCTTTTATCCTTTTGATTCATAGCAAATTCCTGATCACGCATTTGCTAGTGACAAAGTACCTACCCTAACTGGACGACACAATTACATTTCAGAACAAAATACATGTATGTACAACACTAAAGAATAATGCAGTAATTATCTAACAGAAGGTAAATACAATAAACAGGTGGCAAAATGAGACCAAAAGATGATAATACCTAATATGCATTAAATCGCTAATGATTAATAGAGTATAATAAACTTTAAATCAAATGTATGTAAATACAGTAAAACATAAAAGTACAGCAGCAAAATAAGTTAAAAAAAAGTAAAGCGAATATGGGGTACGAGGTATGTCCAGTCGAATCTAAAAATAAAAAATCAAACAAAACTCAATCCAAACCATCAGCAATATCAGAGCCAAAGAGGAAAATACCAATTGCCAAATTCCCGATTGAGACTCCAGAAGGTCATCGATTTATCTTCTGGGTAGAATTAAAAAGGTGATTCCACTCAGTAGCGTACCAAGAAAGGAATAGAGATAAAAAATTATTATCTAATAAAACAAAAAAAATTAATTTATAATAATTATATTATGTAGGCACATCGGCAAACTGACTAGAAATACCCACAAGGTAACAAATTGTTTTCATATAGGTACCTAATATTGTTGGCTAATGCCCTGCAAAACTAATTGTATGATTGTTGATTTTCGTAAGTGAAACGTTAACCAAAATTATAAAAGAAAATACATGTAAGTTTTAAGCAATGACATGCGTCTGTTGCTCTTCGCATATTCTCTACAACAGCGGCGAGATCAAAAGGGTTAGGTATATTATGAAAAATTACCTAATTGAATCCGAATGAAGAGCCCCTCGGTCCGAGAAGTCCTGAAGACAGGAGGAACCCAACGTTTATTACGAAATTTTTTAAAAAATCTTAATTTGGTGTATTTAATCAATTTAAAATAGGTATTAACCCAAGAACATACACAAATTATAAAAATAAATTATCTTTTCTAAGAAAAAAATATTACTCACAATCAGTTTCAGAACGCATCCAGTGCGCTAATTTTACTACTTCTACTAATGCTCAGGGAATTCCCTCTTTTTATTTTTGAAGGACGTTCATGTGCTACGCTAGAATCCAATGAGTACCTACTAACGAGTAACGAAATTTATTCGAATTTCGATAATACCTACGTTCTTTAAATTAAATTTTACTAGATAATAATAAACACAATAATTATAATAGTGAAAATATTAAACAGTGAGAAAATTAAAAAATATATTCCTTTAGCTGATGAAATAAAAAAAATGTGGAATCAGAATACAGTTCGAATTATTCCAATAATAACATCATCAATAGGCGTAATACCTAAAACATTACACGCTAGCGTGGCCGTGTGGAAACTGCATAAACTTACGTATATGAGTCTACAGAAATCAGTAATCCTTGATACATGCTGAATAGTAAGCAGATTTCTTAACAATACTGACATATCCCCTTTTCCAGAACACACAGGTTAAATCAGAAACGGAGTTTTCAATAATCACCGATCGTATTTCAGGACTAGAAGTATGTTAGTTCTATAAAATTTAAGAAAAGGTTACGATATCGTATCTCAAAAGATATGAGTGAGGTTCTTTGGCATCAGTCCGTCTTCACTTGCTCAAAGTTGACCAGTGAAAACTGAGAAGTGTTGGTAAGTATACATATTTACTTTACTTCGTGATTTATAAAGAGGAATGCCCAGCTTTTTGAAGTGAAACTTCTTTACGCACGGTAGGGTAAGTTCGTTTCATGCGAGTTGCTATGTAACGAAACCATGCAACGGATGTCCCCCCTCTACTCGGCCACGTAGTCGAGTTCGTAGTGAGNATTATGTTATAAATAGGCTGACACACTCATAATAAGACAACAAAAATAAGAACAATTAAGACAACAACAGACAACAATTAGTAGCATCAGTGTAATCATCAAGTGCAGTTATTCGTGTTATTCATCAGTGAGGTAAATTATTTGCACTTATCGTACATTCCTTCCAAAAAACTCGTTTGCTCCCTCATAGGAGAAAGAAGTGACGCGGCAGCGCAAAATAAATAAAACAGGGATATTATCAAAAATTATAGAGATATAACAATCACGGACACGGGGTATAAAATATATACCGATATAATAATGAATAGGCTAAGGGAGATGATTAAAGAAAGATACTATCTTTTTCTTAAAGTAGATTATCGACTCATATTTAAACACAAAAAAAAGATCAAACAGAATAGCTCAAAACCCCAACGCCAAAACACGACACACTGTAATTGTCCGAAGCACTTTTCGGTAACAAAGTTACCTTCTTCAGGGACTGAAGTAAACTAAAGTGTTTTGGCGTTGGGGTTTTGAGCTATTCTGTTTGTTCTACAACAACCGCCAAAGTTTTTCCAATCTTCATATTACAAAAAAAAGATGTTTGTAGTACTTGTAAACTTAAAAAGGGCATTTGATACGGTAGACAGAGGGGAATTGATGAACATGTTAAAGATACGTAAAATTGAAGAAGGGTTAATTGGGAGAATATTGGAAATATATAGGGAAACTGCAGGGGTTGTAAGATTAAGTGGTAGGGAGACAAGGAAATTTTGGGTGGAAAAAGATGCAAGGCAAGATTGTAAGTTGATTTTTTTTTTATTTAACCTCGAGGAGGACAAATCTTCTAAACACACCCTCCAAAAGGGAGGTAGTGTCGGATTCACTCCTGATGGGAGCGCCTACCGTCTAAAAACCATCCTCGAGTTGGTAGATCAACCTGGCGGTTATGATTACCGGGAGAATAATAAGGGGAGAGGGTTGAGTGGGAGATAGGTAAAGAGGTGAGGGAGGGAGGGAGATTGAGGAGGTGAACTGCGAAGAAGGTAGCGCAACTTTGAAGGAAAGATGGGCACTCGCGCTAAAACGCGAAATGTAAGTTGAATACACAACTGTTTAATATATACCTAAGTGATTTAGAGAATGAGATCAGTAAAGTAAGGGAAGGTGGAGTAGTGGTAGGTAGAAAGAAAATATGGACCTTATCGTACGCCAGCGATATTTCCTTAATAGCCACGAATCATTGAAAGATATGATGGGAGCGTTGGAAAGATACGTAAGAAAGAAGTGTTTGGGGTTAAACGCTAGTAAGACTAAGTACATGGAATTTGAGGAACTAAAAGATAGAAAGGGGAAAGAATAAATGGTGATTAGGTAGAAAGGCGAAGAGATAAAAAAGGTTAAAAAAATATTAATACCTAGGATATGTTATGGGAGAGAACTACAAAGATAAAATACAAACAACTTGTTAGGAAGTAAATGGGAATAGGGCATAGATTATGTAGGAACAGTTAGAAGTATAGCTCTTTATGGGGGTGGAAGGAACAAAAACAGGTGGAAAACATTTACAAGAAATATATAAAATGGGTGTTGCGGTTGGACAGACATACACCAGATTATGTTGTACGGAGAGAATTGAAATGTGGGATGATGGTTGAGGAAACCAGAAAACGGGTGGCAAAATACGAGATAAAACTAGAAAAGCATACGGATGGGGATATAAAAAAGGAATTATGGAGGAAAAGGATTCTAAATATTGGAAAAAAAATAAAAAAAAGCATGGTGCATTAGACTATTTAAAGTTAAATCAGAAACAACAGAATGAATGGGGATATGTGTCGAGGAGATAGTGTGAATAAGATGTAAAGAGATGATAAGGGGAGAAGGATCTAAGAAGTATGTGGAATGTTTAAAGGCTTTGCTTTGGGAGCGATGGGGGGGAGACTGCTTGCCAGATTATATGAATAGAATGAAGAAGGTGGACGTATTTGCAAGGTTTAGAGTGGGAAATGAATGTAGATAATGTAAGTATTGGATGAAAGGAGAAGAAATGATATGTAGGATATGTGAAAGGAGAGATGAAACAATGATGCCTGTGCTGGGAGGATGTGGGGAAAGTAAAGATTTNCTGTTCTAAATTCCATTTTTTTAATACTTAGCAATTTAACAAATCCAGTAAATTTCCGTTTTCTTCATTCAATTCATTGTTGGTGTCTGATAAGGCAACAAATTATTTTTGGAGTATAGAAAGTATACAAGTGAGTGTAATTCCTGTCCTTTTAAAAAATACGACAATGCAAAACCGCATTCAATCAGCTGATAAGTACTAATATCATTATTGTATTGCTTTTATATCTTTTTTGCCCATGTATTGTTTCTAATTCAGCAATATAATCAGTCATTGATCAATGATGCCTGTGCTGGGAGGATGTGGGAAAAGTAAAGATTTGGATGATTGTAAGGAGATATTAAGAGCGAGTGGCGATGGATTAATCCTTCTAAAAAATGTAATTAAAAGTAAGGGTTGGGTTCAGCTTAGGTGATGGAAGGTGGAAAGGGTGTAGTGTTCAAATAAAGGATAGAAAACTAGCTCACATGTATACCGTAAGGTATTTTATTGTAATTATATGTGTCAATATCAATTACAGAATAGAAAAGGATTAGGAGGGTAGTAATAAATAGTTATGAATAAGAAACAATAAAGATTTAATAGAAAATGTTAGGAATGAAGAGGTATTGGAAACAATAGGATAACAGAGGACTCTATGGAAGTCAGCGATATATTAGAGGCAG